ATATTGTACCGTGGATGGCCGAGTATTAAACTCTTTCTTCTGCTTCCAACTTTTATTCCACTCGGTACAACTTTAAATGCGGAACAGGAACAAACTAACTTCTAAATTAACGTCAATTTCACAAACAATAACAATAACAGGCGGAAAACTCGCGCTTCCTACTCCCGGAGTTTAACCTCTTCTGCACTCAGGCGCGGCGGTCACTTCACTCTCCCCGTCTGGTTCTCGTCGTCGCTTATATAGTTTTCTCCAGGTATTCCAGATAGTTCTAGAAATCTCCAAAACAGGTGCGAAACCTCCCGCTTGTCAGTGTCATTTTTGACAGTAAATGGGGCCCAAATGGGGCTCCCATTTACTGAAATACCATGAATTTCGATCCCCCATTCCAGACGTGAGTACCCCAGGCCATTTCCGTTACAATATTATAACAAATGGCATTCAAAAAACGTCATTGTTATTATCATTAATTAGCTGATCATATTCATTTGGCGCAATCTTATGGAGGTAATGGAGTTAAATCTGGAGACCTTGCAGGTCATTTAATTGGACCCCTTCCATCAGCAAAGTGCCGAAGCCGTGCCGTAACTTTCCGTCGGTTTTATTATTTTTTTATTTTATTGAGTAATTTTTTTAAATTATTTTATTACTTCGTACTACCTCAGCTACTTTTATACTTATAATGATAGATTTTCTCATCAATCTGGATTATTCTCCCCAAAAATCTTCAACTAAAGATCGCCAGTCAGATTTCCGGGAATGGAAAGCATTAAGTTTCCTAAATAGTAAGTGCGTAAAACAACCCTTCAAATTAATAAAAAAGACCTCGAAAAAAAATCGAATAGCTAGCTAGCTACTCCTGTCGAAGAGTTGAAAAAGGCTTACTAACCAAATCAGCAAGCAAAGAAGCCAGTAAACGTAAAACCATTTATTGGGCTGTTTATTGTTTTCATTTATTTTTAAAAGTTGAAAACAACCCTTCGATAGGTGTAGATAAGAATTATTTTTAATAAACGATTCCTACATTTTTTTCTCACATTTCTGCTGCCTTTTACGGGTAACTTTGGTCGCTGAATGCCGCTATGTAGCACACAACCCCTTCATGTGGAAACGGTTGACTGTCGTAGAATTTCGAAGGAGCGGCCGCCTTGAAGCTTTCCGGCCCTTCGTCAGCCAGCGATGGTTCCAAAGTGACCTTATCCAGCCAGGTCGTGTTGCCTCTATTGGCCACCAGAATCTCTTCATAAACTTTCGGATCCTGCAAATCGAAAAATCACAACTCTGGAAGAATGTCTGGATCCGGAAACGCTTACCACCAAATCCCTCAAGGGCTCCAACTGCTCTGGAGGCGGCTTGTTGAAGGGCTTGCGGATCTTCTGGCACTGCAGCATCATCAACATGAACCACATGAATTCGTCTCTCATTTCCACCTCTTTCGGTGTGCTGGAGAGCGTGAGGAGTTTGTCGAACCAGGCCCTCAATGGAGGTTTTTCTGAAAGGAAATCAAAGCATGATACGAATGAATGAATACATTGAAGATAATACCTTGCGCTGGAATAAGCTGAACCAAGGCCTTGGCCAGCATGCTGTTGTAGAAGAAATTCGCATCGGAAGCAGCCATTTTCACTGGAATTTCCTGAGCGACAACCCAATCAATCACTCACTGTCAAAGTCCAGGTTTTCCCAGGTTGATGAAGCATGGAAGAAGCATGGCGACCGCAATGATCGCCCTGAATGATCACTTCAAATACAACAGCAAAATAGCGCGCACTCTTCAACAGTTACTGCCTTCCATTGGTAAGTCGTGCGGGCAGCAGGAATTTCCTCAAAAGTTTTCCAGGGCATTAAAGCAACCTTTTGGCCATTAATTGGTGAAAACGTCAAGGCGCTAACTCAGCTCGTTTTGTTGGAGTGATTTTTTGAAAATCGATGGCAACTAAAGCAGTTTGAGTTTTCTCAAAACTTGCCTTAAAAGCTCCTTCTCGTCAGTCCAATGGCCAAAGTTGCCATGGCCAAAAAGGCACTTTTTTAGCTGCAAAATGTTGTAAAAAGCAACACGCTAAGTTAGCAGCTTTTTCGGAATTAATTTTTGAAAACCCCACTTTTGCTCGTTTTATCGAAGTCAAATCAAATTATTCGACCCACAGATTTAAACTTCGGTTAAAACTTTTCAGAGTTTTTCATTAAAATGAAACTTTCCCGGTCCTTGGAGAGAGGCTTTATCTATAAAATGGTGCCACAATTTGCGCTCTGTATTGGCTGGAAATTTTGCAGCGTCATTTTAAAACAAATGTTTCTGATTTTGTTAGGGCAAATTCAGCGACTTTTAGACACTGCCTTAAAATGTTATTAAAACTGGTCCAAATGTGGCACAAAAAAAATGCAACTTTCCACAGCATTAGGGCCTGGGTAACTCAGTGAATTTTTAGGAGTTGGCGCAGTGCTACGCAAATGGCTTGGTGCGCCAACCCCACGCACTGGCGCAGTAGCTTAGTTGCGTTGCCCGGAAAATGTTGATAATTTTTTTTCACTTGTTGTAGAAAATATTCTTTACATTTCTTCAAAATTTCAGAATTTTCCAGTTTTAGCAAAGTTATTCTTTCTTCTAAATGCTCAATTTTCCAAAGTTTCACTTAAAAATGGTGACAATCTTAAGGTAATTTCCACGAAAAACTATGAAATAAATTTCTAATCCTTCGTCGCTTTGTAAAAAGTTTTGAAATCCCTTTCCAGCCTCGAATTTGAAACAAAAATAAAATAATTTTCTATCAAAAAAAGAACAGAATAAGCGAAAGTTTATAATAAATTATTTAGAAATCTCGCCACCTCCATAACTCTGAAGACTGTAGAGTTTGTTAAAAAATGTGGTTTTTTGTTTTGACTGATTTCTTTTTGCTTTAGTTTCTACTCACAAACGCTCTATTTTGAAGAGTTTCACTTCAAAATACTGACGATATGGAGGTCTTTTTCGCGAAAAATTACCAAATAAATTTATAGCTTTGTAAAAATTTCGAATTTTTGAATTTCGAAATTGAAGCGTCGAATTCGCGACAAAAACGAAAATAAATTCCTCCCGTTTTTCCCTGAAAGCCATTATTCCTTTTACCAAAACTGACCACAAAACTGCCTGAAAAAAAAGTTTTTTATCGAAAACGCAAAAAAGCATTATTTTCCGGAAATTTTCTTCTTTTTTGTCAATAATGGGGTGTTTTCAGCAAAAAATGACAAAATTAATATTATTTGTCATATTCGCAGCCCACCGCTCATCGCTCTGAAGATTTTTAAAGATCCTTTAAATTGTCAGGTCGTTCCAGGTTTAACAAAGTTTTTATTAAGCAATTCTTTCTATGAAAAAATCGCATTATTTTTTAGTTTTACTTAAAACATTGACCATATTCACTTATTTTCTGTGAAAAAGTATAAGATACATTTTATTGGAACAATGGCCTCCTTAATCGCTTTGAAAAAATGTTTGGAAAACTTTTTTCAGCTTTGAATTATGGACAAAACCCTCATAATTATGTCTGGGTATTTTTCAAAAAATATTTCCCCGAACTGAAAAAGCGACAGTTTATAATAATTTATTTGGAAAACTCTTGGAAACTGGGTTTCTTCAGTTTTAGGTCAATACTGAAAATTACAGGTTACAGAAAAACCGCGTTTTTCCTAACGTTTTACTGTACACTGGCAAACTGAATCTTTTATGCAAAAAAATTAAGAGATTGATTTTACAATAAAACTCGTCAACTTTCTTTGGACTCAGTTCTGTTGCTAAGAAAATCTGGATGACTTTTTTTAGTTGTTTGAGCAGAGTAGTAGAAGAGTAGTAAGACCCTTTTTAGATGTGAAAATTCCGGTCTCGGGTCTCGTAAAGCGTTAATAAATCACTTATAACTCATGAACCGATGAGTTATAACCCGTTAACTCAGAGAGCGGTATAACTCAATAGCGCAACTCAACACAGTGTCACCCAGGCCTAATTAAGGCAACGTTTTCTCTTTAAAATGAGTCCCAATTCAAAGAAGTACCTGAGTTCATTCTTTAGAGATGAATTTTTGAAGACACTGTTTCCCAAAACGTTCGTCGTCAAAAACGTCCTCGATCGAAACCTTCATTTGGCTCAAGTTAATGCATTATTGAAAAACTACTGCTTTTGCAACTTTCTGAACTTTTGCAATTCTGTGACTGCAAAATGTTGGGCTTTCTAAAGGAGATTTTCCAGAGAGGAAAATGATCCAGCTGTGGTTCAACAAGTTGGAGCACATGGACAAAACAATGGAACAAATGGTGATTCGCAGCGATTACATGTGGTTCATTCTTCTGATGCTGCAAAGCCGCCGCATCAGAGAACCGTTCAATCAACTGCCGCCTCGTCATGTGGTGCCTTTGAGGAAATTCGTGGTAAGTTCGGAGCAAATCGAAGAAATAAAACACGCATTTTAATCAACCTTCGAACAGCCCTTGAATGTGTATGAAGAAGTGCTGATCTTGAATGAGCCCCACATGATCTACGTGAAACGGAAATCTTTAGACGACATCCTCAAAGTGAAGAAAAAGAGGACCGCCACCACTTCCTGCTCCTCGCTGGATCAGTTTGACTAATCCGACCAATCTAGTGCGCTAAAGCCTGTCCATTTGGTGTACAAATATAAAATTCGATGCGAAAAAATCAAGGTTAAACTTGCAGAATTTCTGCTGGGGTTTTTTCGGGTTTGGGTGTGGAAACATGCGATTTGGTCAGTTGATTGAAAGCCGGCTTTAAGCACTGAACATGCTGTGGGTGCAAACGACGTCGATTTTGGCTCTCATCTATCTGGTCGATTGCCATGTGGCGATTCGCCCGCGCGAGTTTCTAGTGGATGCTAAGAAACAGTCAAAAACAGGTAACATTTTTGCATTTTTTCGGATTTTTGTATTCGATTACTGAACTGCCGATTTAAGGAGGAACTGGAATTTGGGAATGTTTTCGTGAATTATTCCGGGCCCAACAAACTGCACTAGCTTGGCAAGTGAAAAGTGGTTTGAACCCCCCAAAACCAAACACTCAGTACATTTCCGCTAATATTTTGCGACTGGAATGATGTAAAATAAAGAGACTATTTGCAAAATTGCAGGATTCATCGGCAGAAACTGAACAGAGTGACATTGTTTCTTTTCGTGTTTTCAACAGTTGATGTCCTGGAAACGGCCAGTCTGAGCAGTATATCCCAATAATTAATTTTTCTCCCAATCGATTGCGGAACAAGCCAAATCAACCCACAGCTCGTTATACTGGGTGGCTGAAAAGTTAGAGCCAATTGAACGTAGACGTGTCAAGGAACGTGCACTTAATGGCGTCAAAGAGGTTCCGGCCAAGTAAACATTTTTTGCTACAAACTGATCGAGGAACAAACGAATCCAAACCAAAGCTCTCTGTACCTAGTGGGTCAAGAGTTAGGGCCGATTGAAGGCCGAGAAAAGGGTTTGACACCAAAAAATAGAGACACCCAGTAGATTTTCGCTTAAAAATTCCGCAGTTCTAATCATAACGTATACGGGCAACGCCTATCGAAAATTTTCAGCAAAAATCTGACTAATTTAAGAATTTATCAAAGGAAAAAGTAGCCAAAGGAACATTCTTGCCTGTCTTCAAGAGCCGATATCTCGTAAAAGGTCGGTCTGAGAAGTTCAGACCAAGATTGCGTTTTGCTCCACATCGATTGCAGAACAAACCTAATCAAAGCACAGATCGCCGTAGACTCTCGCTTATAATAAACGCATATCAAAATGTCCTTCAAATATTTGAAGATTTATCAAGGAAAAACTAAGCAAAACACATTTTTCCGTTTCTTCGATTGCCGAGATCTCAACAACGGCCAATGAACAATTTAGCCCAAGAACGCGTTTTTGCGCCAAATCGATTGCGGAACAAACCAAATCAACCCACAGCTCGCTATACTGGGTGGCTGAAAAGTTAGAGCCAATTGAACGCAAATTCCGCAGCTCTATTCATATCATGTATGCAGGAAACGCAAATAGAAAATTTTCAGCAAAAATCTGACTAATTGAAGAATTTATCGAAGAAAAAAGTAACCAAAGTAACATTCTTGCGTGTCTTCAATAGCGAATATCTCGAAAACGGCCAGTCTGAGCAGTCTGAACCAAGAACACATATTTGCTCCAAATTCGTGGCGAAATCAACAGAGTCAATCCCTAGTACGCTATACAGGGTGGCTGAAATGCCAGAGCCAATTTAACTGAAACGTGTCGGAAAAAGTGCATTTTTACATTCAAAAGCCCATATCTTAAAAACGGCCAGTCTACCACGTTTCGACCAAGCAACATTTTCTGTTCCAAATTGATCGAGGAACAAAATAATCCCCATAATAACCAAAGCTCCCAATACAGCGTGGTTCAAAAGTTAGAGCCGATTAAATAAAATTTTCTGCCCGTTCAACCCCCTAAATAACTTGGACCATCGACCCGTTTCCTCAATTTTAATTGCCCTTGAACCAACCACAGATGAAAACGCGCCCAATGAGGAAGATCGATGCACGCCATTGGTCAGTTGTCCAGCCCACCTGCGCAAAACCTCAAACAGCTACTGCAGAACGCGCACGCAGCGACAGGGAGTGCTTTGCACCACTGGCCAAAACCATACAGGTACGTTTCATCAACAGAAAAAAACTGGAAAGCATTGTAGCGGCTACATCTAAGTACTCACCGACAGACCAGCAGGATCTCAGAGGGCGCCAACACACCTTTCACATGGACAGCTCCGTTCTGAGTCAGTTGCAGATGAAAAGCCGCTCAGAAATGACCAGGCTGCGCACTCGGGAGGCGGCTCTTCTCGCCTCCAAAGAACCTCCAGTTCTGCTGCCAGGTCCAGCTACTTATGGCCATTTTCGCAACTCGCGCTCCTTTGACATGCACGATTTATCCGAGATGATGCATGTGGCAAACAGCGCCCTCCAGCTGGCGATAGCCACGCGCGCCTTCAAGGATCGGTCAGTAGAACCTTCGCAATCGCGTAAGCAAAAAGCTCAGAAATGAGGAGTCTTTGTTTGCCCACAGGCACGGGCTGAGCAATGAAGATCTGGAGCTGGGGATGATTGATGGAGATTTGCGGCCCACTCAGATGGGCCAGGCGTGTGCTCCTGTGCCATTTTGCCCGCTGATTCCCGATAAATACCGTCGAATCGATGGGGTTTGCAACAACATCCTGCAGCCTTCATGGGGCGGGCCTTTTACCGCCTATTCCCGCCTGTTGCCCGCCAGCTACCAGGATGGTACTGCAACCTGATACAGCTTCAGCTGGGGAACAAAACAGATAGACAGTCCTTATTTTCTTCCCCAGCTCAGTGCAAGTTTCCACATGTTCAATGGGGTTTATTTTGCAGGAGTTTGGGCTCCTAGAACCTCTGTGGTCGGCGAAGAGCCTCTTCCAAGCCCTCGCCTGATCAGCGCCTCCGTTATATCCGATCTGAGCAGCCCCAGTCCGGACTACACGCTGGCAGTGATGCAATTTGGTCAGTTTATCTCGCACGATTTCACTCAGTCGATGGACATGTCGTTCAGTAAGCTGCAGCTGATTGGCCAAAAACTCGAGTAGCTGAGTGGTGGGGTTGTGTTGCAGCCAATGGGAGCGCAATTTCCTGCTGTGCGGCGGATGGAGCGTCGACGTTGCCGCCGCAATCCACCCACTACGCCTGCCTGCCCATCGACATCCCTGCGGACGACCCGTTCTTCGGCAAGTTCCGGCAACGGTGCATGAACTTTGTCCGGTCGATTTTGGCTCCGAACAATGACTGTTCGCTGGGGTATTCTGAGCAGGTAACCGGAATTTTCGCGCTGGAAAATTCATCTCCCGAACTAAGCTAGTGAGAAACATGCAGTTTGCACAGTTTTCTAGACTTGTTAGGACAAAAGTCGGGCGATTCGTTGCAGTTCGACCCGAATTTTCTAATCAAACATCGCCCGGCAAGTTTTTTTCAAAATTTGCAACCCTGACACTCTGAACGGAAACCTTTTGCACTCTACAATAGAGCGATAGAGGTTCTTTCAAGCACAAACTTCGGTAATTAGTGGAAGTTTTCATTTAAACATTGACGCTCAAAACGGAGTTTCTAGAAGAATTCTCAGCTCTGGAAAAAACCTTTCTGAACTGTTCCATAGAGATTCCGTTGTTCCGACAGACTCCACAAGCGGAAAAGTTTAAACTCTGAGAACAAACCTGCAAATTCTCCGGTAGAGCGATTGGGGATCTCCAACAGGAAAAGTTGCATAACCCACTATCAGAAAAAACCTAAGAAACCAATGCCAATAGACCCGAATTTGTCCGAATTTCCCAAAACACCAGCGTTTCTTGAAAAATTCACCAGTCCGAAACCAAGCACTCCCAAAGAAAAATCCTCTGACCTTCTCAAAAGAGCAAAAGACCCTCTATGAGCAGCCCAATAGGCAAAGCGGCATCAGCTTTTCTCGATTTTTAACAAACTTTCAAACTTTTGCTAAATCACGCTCATTCATACAGATGAACAAACTCACTCACTTCATCGACGCCTCGTCAGTCTACGGCTCCACGCCGGAACAAACCAGCCAACTTCGCAGCTTCCGCGACGGAAAACTCAAAGTTTTCGACGACTTCGGCCGAGATTTGCTGCCAATGTCCAAAGACCCGAACGCCTGCCTCACCATGGAACAGGGATCCGCCTGCTTCGAATCCGGTTGGTTTCTTCCTGCGCCCCCGAGGGAAAGCTAATGGAAACTTCTTTTACAGGCGACACCAGAACCAATCAGATGATCACCCTTACAGTGATGCATACGCTGTTTCTGCGCGAACACAATCGCCTTGCAAGGGAACTGGGACAGTTGAATCCTCACTGGGACGATGAAAAACTGTTCTTGGAAGCCAGACAGATTCTGATGGCTGAGATGCAAGTGATCATCTATCAGGAGTTTTTGCCCACTGTTTTAGGTGAGTCCTCCCCGGTTCAATAAAAAGACACTGTTTTCCAATGTCATCTTCCTAGGGAGGGAAGCAATGGAAGAATTCGGCGTGGAGCTGGAACCCGAAGGGAAATACTCCCTTGACTACAATCCTATGGTCGATCCTTCCATTACCAACGAATTTGCAGCGGCAGCTTTCCGCTTCGGGCATTCAGCAGTGGAAGGACAATTGAAGTTCGTACTCATGTCCAGTCCCCCTGGAAGTTCTCCTAAACTTTTCCCTGAAACTTCTAGGATCTTCGGTCCCAGTAAGATGGAGGAAGTGATCGCGATTCCCGAACTAATGTTCTACCCATCCAGGATGCGACACCAGGAGTTTCTGGATGAAGTGCTGAGCACGTTGACCACTGAGCCTATGCAGGACGTGGACGGTCACATATCCGAGATGGTAAGCACTTTTCCCCTTAAACGATTAAATTTTTCCAATTCGAGTGGCAGCTCAAACATAAAAGCTCCCAATTCCAGCTAACAAAGTACACGTTTCGCGGAGGAAACCCATTTGGAGTTGATTTAGCGGCGATTAATATACAAAGGGGCCGAGATCATGGCCTGCGGCCCTACAACGACTACAGGCAGCTAATAGGTTTACCACGCATCAACGATTTCGACGAATTCGGTCCGGAGGTAAGCAACCAGTTTACCTTTTTACAGTGTTTCTTACATGGGACTGCGCAATTTTTTTGCCCCAGTCGTTTGGCAAATATGAAGGCATTTATATACAGGATGTTCCGCCGCGACCGATATCTGGCAAACTATAACTAGGAGAAATTTGAAAATTGAACAGTGTTCCGGAGTCATTGGGGGCAAGCGAGTGTTATACCGGAAGTAAGTATCCACTTGCTTATTTTAAATGAAACACCTTATACAGGGTGTCCCGGATATGTGGACAAGCTCTCCGATTTGTACAGGGGACGTTAAAAAACCATATCAAGTTTTTATAAAAAAATATTCCAGAGAGAGATACAGGCCTCTAAAGGAACCACATCAATTAAATTATTTTATCATACAATGAACAGTACATCATTGCTCTTAAAAAGGACCCATGAAAACATTTTTAGGATTTTGGTTTGCCAGGGACGTTCGGGGCAAAGGAGAAAATGACCTCAAAGAAAAATCACCCGGTAATTTTTACAGTCGTTTGTCCCCTTTATCGACATAAGCCTTAAAGCGTGATCTACAGTGGAAATTTAAAATAAATGTTCCAGAAAGTGCAGAAATAAGAGCGAAAAATTACAATAAATAATATAGAATAATAAAATAAATAATTTAAATAATAAAGAATAAACTTGCAATAACACGTTTATAATAAAAAAGGAATTTATAGTATACAGTTTTTCATAAAAGAGACTCAATTGAATAAGGAATTAACGAACACGACCGTAAAAAAAGGATGACCCTGTATATTTTTACAGTTTTTTATCCCACTCAACGATACAAACCCTAAATCGTGATCTACAATACAAAATTGCAATAAATATCTAAAAAACTGCAGTAATTAGAGTAAAAAACACAATAAATTTGTTTAAATAAGATAATTTTGGATTAAAATGAGCATCCTGTAACTAAAATCCTCCATTTAATGTAAATTTTCAAACATACAAGCGCGACGAGAAAATTTGAAATTGATCCAAACTGGAAACCTAAATAGACTGGGTGTTTTTAGAGGTTGGAAATTAGTGATTGAGCTTCTGGTGTTTGAAAGCCTCAATAGAAAAGGTTCTAATGATTATTCAGCTCTTTTCGGTCGTTTTGCGTTTGATCGATTCGTGCACTTCGACGGTTGTTTAAAAATTGACTTTTTGCATCTAACTTTTTAGAGGTTAAGAATTGTGCGTCAAACCTTGATAGGAAAATACAGACCTACCGATGCTCTATCAAAAAGGTTCTAATGATTGTTCAGATGTTTTCAGCCGCTTGCGTGTTATGAGTTGGTGAACTTCAACGGCCCGTTGAAGTTGAAACAGTCGACAGTTTTGCTTCCAACTTTTAAGATGTTAGGAATTTTGCGTAAAACCTTAAAAGAAAAAGACAGTTCTAGTGATGCTTTATCTTATAAATTATTTTAAAGGTTCTAATGATTATGAGCTATATTTAGAATTTGGTTGGAGTAGAATTTATAAATGTAATAATATACAGGGTGATTCACAACCTTATCGACACAGAGCAGGGGCTTGTAAAGGACCTCAAAACAAGTCGATTTTCTATTGAAGTTTTTTTTCTCAGGCCCATGGTTAACGAGATACAGGGTGTTAAAGTTTACAAAAAAAAAATATTTTGGTATTTTCTCTTTAACTCCTACAGTTTATGAGATATTGTTTTGCTCAAATTTTTAACGTAGGCTAATGTTTAGACCCTTTAGCTGTAAGTAAGCCAACTAGTTGTGAAAATCTACAGGGTGTTCCTTTTTCTAGAGGCACACCCAGTTTTACCCCCTCGAACTTTTTTGTGGGGCGTTACTAACTTCGACTCAATAAATTTTTGAATTTGTTGCTCAATTTAACAATTTATTTATCTCTTGCAGGTTTTTCGTATCTGCCCTCGTTTATTAGTAATTTGCACAATCATAAGTCCATGTAGGGTTTCTGGGTGATTTTCTCTGAATTTTTTAATATTTTTTTTGTATTCTTGCATTCACATTTTTTGTAATAGCTTCAAGTGCAAGTTGAAGTTAAAATAGGGATGGCTGACAAGTTAACTTTATTTTTTATTTTTTGTACTTCAATTTAATTTACAATAATTGAGGTTGATCGGCTGTAAGCTAATCCAAATAAAAATACATAAAAATGTAACAAATGTTTCAATTTATTATGAAATTAATTTCTTTCATGGAAAATTCATGGAAATCACCCAGGAACCCTACTTGGACTAATATTTGTGCAAATAACTCAAAAACCAAGAAATATACGAAAAAACTGTAAGAGATCCGAAAATTCTTAAATGAAACAACAAATTCACAAATTTGTTCGGTTGAAGTCAGTGGCGCACCACAAAAAAGTTCGGGGGGGTAAATGCGGTATGACTCTCGAAAAAAGAACACCCTGTAAATTTTCACAACCAGTCGCCCTACCTACGGGTGAAGGGTCCAAACATCAACCTACGTAAAAATTTGAGCAAATTATGTCATGAACTGTAGAAGTTAAAGAGAAAATACCAATTTTTTTTTAAAATTTAACACCCTGTATCTCGTCAACCGTGGACCTGAGAGAAAAACTTAAATAGAAAATCGATTTGTTTCGAGGTCCTCTACACGCCCCTGCTCTGTGTACATAAGGTTGTAAATCACCTTGTATAAGGTGTTCCATTTAAACTAAGCAAGTTAATACCTATATCCGGTATGGCCGGAAGTGTGGCGATCTTAAAAATATTTTAGATCGCGTGCCCCCAATGACTTCGGCAAACTGTTAAATTTTCAAATTTCTCGTAATTATAGTTTGCCAGATATCGATCACACCAGTTCCTGGTGGGGACACCCTGTATTTACATGGATTGTTTTCTATTGGACACATTTGTCTGAAGAAGCTAGATAAATGCACAGTCCGATAGAGCAATTAAAGGTCTATTAGGAGAAAAGTTTTCAAACGAGTTCCGATTTGCCCTGAATGATGGCAATTTTTCTTAAGACAACAGCATTAGAATTTTTTGCTTTTCCAAATTCAAGAAGAAAGCTTGCAGTTTTCTAGAAGTATGACGAATTATGCCTTAATTTTTTTTTAGATCGGCAGCAAGCTTCGTGCAGTCTACCAATCGGTAGACGATGTGGATCTATGGGTGGGCGGCCTTTTGGAGGACAAACCAGCAGGAAGCATGCTGAGCCTCACCTTCCGGGACATTATTGCCGATCAGTTTGCGCGCCTGAAGAAGGGCGATCGCTACTTCTTCCAAAACGATCCCTCAATCAATCCGGGCCATTTCACTCCAGGTAAGTAACGCGCCTAAACCAAATCTCTTTCACAAAGAAATGACTCGTTTTCATTAAAATCGGCGCATTAACAACGACATTAAATTAATTTCAGAGCAACTAGCGGAGCTTAGGAAGGCGTCGTTGTCGAGGATAATTTGCGACAACAGCGATAAAATGTTACTTTCCCGACAAGCTCGCAACGCTTTTAGGAAACCCGGTGTGTCAGGGCAAGTTTACCTATAAATCCTTATTGCCGCAACGCTAAGAATACGCGACTTTATTCATTTAAAACGCAACCGAAAAATCTAACACATGTCTTTTGCAGGAATGAGTTCTTCGACTGTCGGGGTCCGGAGATTCCGCGTCTTGATCTAACACTTTGGCACTCTTAGGCAATTTTAATCTGTTCTTGTTGTCCATAGTTCAAGCTCAAAAAAACGTTCACAAAAGTTCAAAAACTAGTCACGATTTTGTTTGAGACTTTATTATTTTTCCAATCTGCTACTTATCACTATAGTACATGGCGATCCAGGATTTATCCAGCCGAAAACCACTAGTGACTATTCCTCCACTTGTTTGCCAGTTTGCGTTCTTCATTCCAGCCATACAAAGAGCGCACTAGCTGAGATTGAGGTGGAAAAAGTCGGAGGAATAGCCCCAACAAGCTCCCGATTATATTAAACTAATTATAATTTTTTTAAATTTTACTTAAGTCAAATCACACCTAATTTAGAACTTAACGCTTTTGTATGGTGTATTTTCAGCGAATATAATTAAAATTTTTACGTTATTTTATTCGTTTGTAGATCGTTTGTCCTGCAAAAGAAAAACATCAATCATTCCACTAGCGTTTTTTGGGTGCAAATTCGGTGCTTTTAAGGGGGTTATGAAGGTCTGAACGTTTCGCTAGCACACGTTTCAACCATCTTCAGAAGAATGCTCGCTTCGGTTCGACTGAATATTTCAAGTGAAATTGGGAACTTACTGATGATTTTTCCTTATTATTTGCTCATATAAAACCGCCGGTAAGGTAAAAACGTTCTTCAAACACACTCTATTAGGAGCAAAATTGTAAGCTCATCTGCAATTTTTCGTGTTTTGTGTTTAAAAACCCTTAGACCGCTAAAAACATTCAACTCCAAAAAATCGTAGCTCCGAATCCGAGGAAGTTAAGAAAAGACACCAATCACTGTTCTGTAGAACGATTATCACTGTGTTAGGAGAAAGACTTTAATTTCAATTGCAATTTTTCAGTAATTTTGTGAATTTCATTTTTACACAAAAAACACTCAGACTTTAAAAAATAAAAACTCGAAATCAAAGCAAGCGCGGCAAACACACTGTTCCATAGAACGATTTAAGTTCTTTCCAAGCAACACTGAAAACTCAGTGATAAATTTTCCTTAATTCTCAGAGAATTTTTCATAAAAAAAAACACATTCAAAACATTCCCCCTTTAAAAATTCATATCTGCGAATTCAAGCACGCTAACAAAACACACTTAACACTGTTCTGTACAGCAATTCACGCTCATTTAGAAGAAAAATCGAAAATTCAATGGCGATTTTCTCCGAATGTCAACGAATTAAAAAAAACACTCAAGACAGTCAATTTAAAAAAAAATGGTAACTTGAAGTCCGATTAAGTTCCGAAAACACACGAAGCCCTATTCTGTAGAGCGATTAACGCTCTATCTGGAGAAAAATTGGAAATTTATTGACGATTTTCCCCGAATCTCAGCGAATTTAAAAGATTGTAAAAATGAATAACTCCGAAACCGAGCCGCCCGAGAAAAAAACACTAAACACTGTTCTATAGAGCAATTCACGCTCATTTAGAAGCAAAATCGAAAACTCATTGGCAATTTTCATTAAAAAGAAAATAGACACTATAAACACGCAGATTTTACAAATTCAGAAATCCGAATCCAAGCAACTTAAGAAGACACAGGTAACACTGTTTTATAAAGCGATTCAAGCTCGTTTAGAAGCAAAATCGAAAATTCAATAGCAATTTTCACCGAATGTCGACGAATTAAAAAAATAAACACTCAAAGCAGTCAATTTAAAAAATTGTAACTTGAAGTTCGTTTAAGTTCCGAAAACACACGAAGCCCTATTCTATAGAGCGATTAACGCTCTATCTGGAGAAAAATTGGAAATTTATTGACGATTTTCCCCGAATCTCAGCGAATTTAAAAGCCTTCAAAAACGTATAACTCCGAAACCGAGCCACCCGAAAAAAAAACACTAAACACTTGAGCAAACAAACAAATTGTCAGCTTAAAAAAATCGAAATAATTAAAATAAGCGAATTCTGCCCTGTTCAATGGGACAATTAACATTCCTCTGAAGATGCTAGTCGTGCGTGTTAGCGAAACGTTTCCCGAATCTAATGACCCGGAAAAAGACCCAAATTTCCAACACCTTGGATGTTCTTTAAGCAAATTGCGATAGCAATGTTAGCAACAGCCGAAAATCCGATATAATTTGCACTTTTTGGCCGATATTGCTTTTAGTCAATAACTTTCCATCCCGTTTCAAGACTCTAAATTGACTGCGACCAAAATCCCATTTGCATCGAGAAACTGCCAAAGTCAACGTTTTACGGATCAACGTATCGCTCTGGATATTTAAAAGCCACCCAATTGGATGGAACATTTCCAAAAAAAAGAGGGTCGTTAATAAAGTAGCGACTACCAACCGCGAAAAATATGAAAAAACAATTTTGATTGAAAAATTCCCTTAACCAAATACCAATTTGAGCGTGTTTTCCTGGATAGTAAAAAACGCCTCATCTCAATAACTAATTCATCTGCAACGACCCTCTGGATAAAGCATCGAGCCGTAAAGAGGCGCTTTTAACTCGATAAAAGGACGGAAAGTTTGGGCGATTTCAGATAGTTACTCACGCCATCTTCGATGGATCCAGCAGCGGCTGAAAGTTGATTGTTCCTCATCAGTTCTCTGAATCGGGCCCATTCGTTGGCGCTGCTGCAAAAGAACCGAAACAATAATTAGCGAAGCAGCAACGGGAACCAGCAATTTCGTCCATGTTCACCAAAGTTTTCAAACAGCGCTCAGCTAACCGAAGACGTGCCTGATAAAAGGACGTTTACCTTTTGATGTTGTCGCCGCCATCTGGATCGCTAAACAGTTCGTCAATCTCGGGCTGATTTCTGGATGCATCCAGCAGGTTGGCACGTCGGTAATACCGCAGGTCCAAGGGACTTATCATTTTCGAAAGAAACCACTCCACTTTCGCGTCCTCTTTGTTTGATGTCGCCTCATTATCGAGTCGGGAAAGTGGCTCTGATCGGTCGCTTCGTTTCCCATGGGCTGTAATAATAGTTATTGGGAATTTAGACGACAAAGTTTGCTGCTTCTTTGTCATGCTGCGCTACTTGAGCGATTAATGATTAGGAAACGATACAATTCCAGATTGTTTAGGAAATTAATGCAGATGTTCGGGTACTCACCGCCCCAGCAGGCATGCCCGTAGTTCAAGCAGGACCCTGAAACAATCACATTTGGTTCTTTAATCAAGTATACACTTTTATTCGGCAAATGTTGATTGTTTACGGTAGCAAAGTGTCAGTTTTCAATCTATTTGGAAAATTTTTCCACAGTGTTTCCAAAATGCAGGGTATTTCAAGCCCTGGTCATGCACAGTTAGTTTCAGCAAGTCAGAACGTTTACGAGTTCTGACTTGCTGCATGACTTGCGCATAGTTATGCGGAACTCAAACTTGCTCTTTGCACCGTTTTATTGGAAGAAATCATTGTTTGCGACTGTAGAGTTTCAAATTTTTATCTATTTCGGGCAATTTCTGCGAATTTTTCGAAGCTCGAACTTGTTCATGGATGCACAGTTACTTAATCAAATTCATAATATCACCGAAAAGCCTTAACTTTGGCTCTGCTTCAAGAATTTTTTTCATTTTTTGTCGCTTTTCTTAAAGTTGTTGTATGTTATGTTATTTTAGAAAATTCATAACTCGCAAATAGTGAAGAAAAACACATGTGCACAGTTGCGCTTTATAAAGAGAGTTTGCCTGCTTATGATAGGACAGTTTCAAATTTACCATTTTCTGAAAAATTTATAAAGCTGGTGCATTTCTTAAAGCTTTTTTATGCACAGTTTTTTTTTAAGCAAGATGCAGTGACGGAGTCAGACTGGATTACAATACAGCTTTGAAATCTGCGCAATTGTTAAACTTCATGAATAAAAGTGCAAAGTTTTGTAACTTCTTGGGAAAAAAATCTCAACTTAGTTCCTGGTTATTACTGAATACTCAGCTATACTAGGCAAAGTTTTACTCTTTAAAGCTAAACTTCAAGCTCAAAATCTAAACTTTAAGGGATTGCAACCGCTTGGAAAAAATAGCAAACTGTCTTTGCACAAATAGCTTCGAAAATTACTGGAAACTGGAAAAGAGCCGGGAAATGAAACTCGATTACGGCTGCCTTTTTATAGTCAAAAGTTGGGTGTTTATTTTGGAAAGTATCAAATTTGTATTTAATTTGGACATTTTCTGACAAATTTTCAAATGTAGTTCTTTTGAAGGTTTTATGTACAGTTAGATTAGAAAATTGATAACTCAAAAACGGTAAAGAAATAAAACTTACAAATTGCGTTTTATAGTCGAAAATTGGTTGTTTATGGCTGGAAAGTTCTAAATTTCGATTGAATTTGGACATTTTCTGATAAATTTTCAAATGTAGTTCTTTTTAAGGTTCGTTTATGCACAGTTGGATTTGAAAATGTATAACTCAAAAACGGCACAGAATTAAAACTTGGTAATTGTTGCGTATTATAGTCGAAAGGTGATTGTTTATAGTTGAAAAGTTCCAAATTTCGATCAAATTTGGAAATTTTGTGACAAATTTTTAAATGTAGTTTTTTTAAAGGTTCGTTAATGCACAGCTAGATTATAAAATTTATAACTCAAAAACGGTACAGATATAAAACATGGTAATTGTTGCGTTTTACAGTCAACAATTTTTTGTTTAGAGCTGGAAAGTTTCAAATTTCGACATTTTCTGACAAATTTTCGAACGTAATTATTTTTAAGGTTCGTTTATGCACAGTTTGATTAAAAAATTATAATTCAAAAACGGCATATAATTAAAACTTGGTAATTGTTGCGTTTTACAGTCGAAAGTTGGTTGTTTATAGCTGGAAAGTTTAAAATTTCGATTTAATTTGGAAATTTTCTGACAAATTTTCAAATGTAGTTCTTTTTAAGGTTCGTTTATGCACAGTTATTTTTGAAAATTTATAACTCAAAAACGGTATAGAAATAAAACTTGGCAATTGTTGCGTTTTATAGTCTAAAGTGGGTTGTTTAAAGCTGAAAAGGTTAAAATTTCGATTTAATTTGGACATTTTGTCACAAACTTTCAAATGCAGTTCTTTTTAAGGGTCGTTTATTTGAAAATTTATAACTCGAAAGCGGAGCAGAAATAAAACTTGGTCTTTGTTGCGTTTTACACTCGAATGTTGGTTGTTTATCGCTGAAAAGAATCAAATTTGGAAACTGTCTGACAAATTTTTTAGTACTTTTTAATTTTTATTTGTGCATTTTCTTTACAAAATTAATAACTTGAATACGTGCAACAAGGATATAGAACTTGTTCGTTTTTGAAGATTGTTCGATTTATTCATCGTTAGCGTCCCTGGTTTATAAAAACTGGTGTCAAGTTTAGCGGGTTTGGGACGGTGAACAGAAACTCTTTATTTTCTTGAAAAAGCCTACGTTTCGACTATATATTTAGTCTTCCTCAGGGCTTTTCAACATTAAAGGGCTTCATGTCAAGACAATGACCACATATCCACAAAAAACACGAATTCTGGTTTAATGTTGAATAGCCCTGAGGAAGACTAAATATATAGTCGAAACGTAGACTTTTTCAAGAAAATAAAGGGTTTCTGTTCACCGCCCCAAACCCGCTAAACTTGACACCATTGTTCGATTTTTTCAGTTTTATAGCAAACAGTTGGTTGTTTTTCGCTGAAAAGTTTAAAATTTTGAGAATTTTTAAGTAATTCTTAAAATTTTTCAAAACTAGTCTTTTGTGGGTGGCTTGTTCAAGTGCAATTATTTTGAGAAATTTATACCTCGCAAACGATCTGTAACTTATATTTTCTGTTGCTGTCTGTCATAGACCAAGATTGGTTGTTTATAATAAAACAGTTTTAAGTGTGAAACTATCACAGACATTTTCTTGCGATTTTACCTAACTGACGCTTTTCTTCATTCTTCACGCTTGTTTTGCACAGTTGTTTTAAGAAAGTTACAACTCGCTAATGATCAGGAACTTAAACTTATGCGCTACCGTGTTCTGTAGAACAAGGTTGACTGATTTTGAACGGAAAGTTTCGAATTTGGATCTGCTTGGGGTGTTTTCTGCGAATTTTTAAAACCTGGCGCCTATTTAATTCTTTTCATGCCCAAAACGGTGTGAAAATAAATCTGTTTGTTTCGGCGTTTCATAGCGATAGAAGGTTTGCTGTTTATCGCTTGAAAGGTTAAAATGTGGAACTTATTGACTCAATTTCTAATAATTTTTCAAAACCGTCCGTTCGTTTCAGGCTTGTTCATGCACAGTTAGTTACAAAAATTCATAACTCGCCAACAATGTGGAGCTGAAAATCTCCATTTATCCGTTTTATGGACAAAGATTGGCTAGTTATAATAGGAAAGTTCTAAGTTTCCATCTTCAACAGGAATTTCGTGATTTCGTGATTTGGATTTACTTGCGACATTTTCTGCGAATTTTTCGAATTTGGCCCTTTATCAAGGCTTCTTCATGCATAGTTATTTTCGAAAATTTATAACTTTAACTAAGTGTGGAAATAATATTTTCGGCATTTTAGAGTCGTGCATTAGTTCGTTTTTGCATTTTAGAGCGGAAATCTGATTGTTTATCGTTGCAAAGATTGAAATTTTGAACTTTTTGAGTCAATATCTGACTTGTTCATACAGCGTTATTTTAAGAACTATTCTAAAAAATTCTATATAAATAGAATAATTCGCAAACGATGCGGAATTGAAATTCTCCATTGCGCCCTTTTAAAGACAATTATTGGCTGTTTATGGTAGAAAAGTTTTAAAGTTTTAGTCTACCTTGGGTATTTTCTGAGAAACAAATCTAGTTCTCTTTAAAGCTAGTGTATAAAAACATTTTGAAAAATTCCTTACTCAAAATCGATGCGGAAATAAATGTTGCTGGTTGCTGCTTTTTATAGTGAAAATTTGGTTCTTTCTAGCTGGAAATTTTCAATTTTGGAACTCCAAGAGACAGTTCCAGAGAATTTTTCAAAACTGCCTCTTTTCCCCAGGATTGCTCATTTATACTTATTTTTCAAAAATCGCTTGAAATCACTAACCATGCAGAAATGATTTGGTTCGTTGCTGCGATTTATAGACAAAGGTTGGTTGTTTTATGGTAGGAAAGTGTACATTTCTCAACTTTTACAGACATTTTCTGGCAATTTTTCAAACCTGACGCTTGCTTATGCACAGTTACTTTATGAAAATTAGAACTTGCATAAATTGAGGAAAGTGAGCTTATGAATTGCGGCGTTTTATAAAGCCTAGTTACCTGTTTATGGAAGAAACGAAAAAAAAATTGAGCAAGTTTTCCAGAGACATTTCAAATCTGGCTCTTTTCAAGGCTTGTTTAAACACAGCTGCTGTGGCAACTTTATATCTCGAAAACGGTGAGGACGTTAAACTTGTTGTTTTCCGCATTTTATAGCGGAAAGTTGGTTGTTTATAGTCGAAAACAAGTCGTTTTCAAATCTGAAACCCGTAAAGACAATTTTTGGTAATTTTTCAAAATCCTTTTAGAATTGTCAATTCATAGTTATTTTAAGAAACTCATAACTGGGAAATGGTGTTTATTTAAGCCAAAAATGTTTGCAATCAGTAGCGAAATAAGCAGACGAATAAAGCAAACAATCGAAACGCACCAGAGAAAAAGGGAAAATTGATCAAAACCAGATAAAACAACATTCTGAAGCAAAACTTTGAATTCAAAGCCCATTAGCTGCAGTAAAAACAGTATATTATACTAAAAATTGAGCTTTGAAAAATGCTTAAGTCGCAAACTCAATTTGCCTGTACTCTGAGAAACTCTCCCAATCCCCCCGAACAAATTCCAAAAATCTCCTCCTGATAGTAAAATGAAAGGTGGAAACAACAAAGTAGCTTCGGCTGACGAAATTCGCCATAAAATCCGACCATTAACACGGCCATGGAACATTGGCAGGTTAATCCAGAGCGCACTTCCCAGCTATCGATTCATCCTAGTGAAAGAACAAAAATATTAATTTCCTGTCCGTCCATGTAAAGACAGGAAGTGACCAAATAGCGACAGGAAAAACGTAATTTCTTAATCGAGGCACCGAAGAAACAAAACAAAGCCCTACATCGAGTACAGAAAAATGAAATATACGCTTCGCCCACTGGCTGGTTCTGTACAAAACAGATATCCAAGTGGATTTTCACAATAGCGATCGAAGGTTTGGTTTTTTTTCCGGCTCGGGGGAGAGTTTAATGAAACGCTTCTCCCATCTTGAAAGCTCATCTAAGAATCATAAAATCTATATGGAAAGGTAACAGCCACGACTTTATTAAACACTTTGATGGTCACAGCGTAAGTTAGCAGCTTAATGATGGTCAGTGTTGTAGCAGTTTTAGCAAATTAAAAATTCTCCCCCCGACAGTCAAATCATCCTTTTAAATGGCACGAAAGAAATATGCGCAAGATAAGGTAATTTAACCGGCTGGCCAAGACGAAGAGCAATTAGCGAACATGAACTTGTTGGCGATTAAATTAAAAAACCCACATTACTTTTTATTTGTTTCGGCCCCGTTATGGCTGTTTCACATTAATTAGATACACTGTTTCAGTATGCTGAATATACACCAAAAATACGGTTTACTTGCCTAATTCGATTTATCTCCGCTCGCTCTAGACGTGTAGGTATATCAAGGAAAAAATACCTTGCATAACCCCCGTACCAGTAACTAAGTAATATCGTGCAAGTATGTTTCAGTGCCAGGATTTTTTTCAGCAAATTAACAGTGCCATCATCTGACCCCATTATTAGGTGCCATGTGGCGACTGCACCCTAGGGAACCTGCTGTAGGGCCGGAAGAGGCCCCATAAATCATGCAATTTATTTTCGACTTTTACGCCCGCCAGCCTAAAAACCATAACAATGTAATGCACTTTGTTCGAACACTGCCCTAATTAAGGTACCAAAGGTCCTAAGGGATTTTCCGACAAAAAAAGCAGGTTAGACATTTAGGTTTAGACACACAACGCGTGCAATTTCAGCCGAGAAAGACTGCGCTGCTGGTTCCCACCGGAAAAAATACACTCTGAAAAAGATGCAAAGTCAATCGATTCTTGAGTTTTGGGATTTGTTTCTGGAAACGCAGCTCAACAAAAACGCGATTTTTCGATCTTAATTTTTTTTCTCTCCAACCAAGTGCACAAGTTGCACCTGAATCGTTTCAGAAAAAGCTCAAAAACATATTTTTCACAAAAATGAGCGATTTCCGAGAACGTCCCTCAGTGGCCCCTAGGCGCTTCTTTGAAGCTTGAACGATTTTCTATTAAATTTTCCAAAAAAAAAACAAATTTGCACAATTTTTTGCGCAAATTTTACTCAGCCCGACTTGGAGACTACTAAAAATTCGAAAACCACTCATTTTCAGACTTGTGTGGCATACCCATTTAACATGAGATTTAAATGCGATAAACTTTTCCTCCTGACCCGTTATTGACGCGGGTTGACGCTGAATTTGTTGAATTGCTTTGGAAAAATGTTGGGTGTAAAAATGGGTCAGATTTAGATTTAAAATCCGCCCCCATTGTATCCCCCATCCCTGAGTGGGGGATTTTATTGTGAAACATCTGAGCCAGTTCTTGCGTGTATTTTTCCATATCCACCCATTAGTAGATAGAGTTATCAAACGACGCACATAAAATGTTGACAAAAAATCAATTAATAAATTATGAGCACACAACACATTATTTTTTTCCTTTCCACGAAGCTCCCGCACGAAAAATCTTCGCATTATCCAAAGCCACCCAGTGATACATTTACCAAACCATGCACATACATTTTTTTTCAAAATTCCAAAATTAGAGATTTCAAAAAAAAATCGCGAAATGAAAAATGATCAAGAAATTATTAGGACATGCATTCAAATGCGTCGGAATGACACTATTCATGTTTCACTTAAAGTGACCACTAAGAAAGGTTTTTCGAGTTTACCTCACATTTTTGGGGAAGTTCTGAAGAATTTTTGACATAAACGAATTTAAATTAAATTTTCAATTAATAGTGTTTCAGAAGACTAAAATAGTCAATATGGCAGAAAATAAAACAAGAATTTAAAAAAATAGAGCTTTAGTCTTTATTTTTTCTTTTTTATGCACTTCGTTTATCACATGGGATATAAATGCGAAATTTCAAAATCCTAAGTAAATATTTTTATTTTTCCCCATAGCACAAAGGCTATTAAATTATAGGCGCTTTTATAAAATTAAAAAAAAAACGTTTAAACCGATTTGAAAGTGTTTTTCGTCTAGGTAGAAAGCCCTAAAACCGGAAATTTTCGGTTTTAATTTTTTTCTTCTAAACAAAGCTTCCGAACGAAAAAGTCGCTCTGGACAAAAAGCTCACAATATTCAAAGCCACACTGTGAAACAGCTACCAAACCCGGCACATAAATGATTTTTTAAATTTTCAAATTGTAGTAAAAAATTAACACATAATGAGCACATCACTGGATAGTGAGCGTCCAGATACATACGATAAGGGGAATTCAGATTTCCCTTAAAGTGACCACTCAACAAGTTATGCGAAATTTGTCAATTTTTTTTTCTAATTTTTGTGAAATGTTGAGGTAAATTTTGGCAGGTACAAATCTACATAAAATTTTCGATTAATAGTGTTGAAAGGGTCAATATTGACCGTCTAAAAAAGGTTTTTCGACTTCATCTCAAATTTTTCAGGTTTTTACAGGGACAAATCTACACAAAAATTTTGCATATTAGTATTTGAAGGCCACTAAAACAGTCAAACAGCGGAAAATGAAGTCTAAAAAATGGGACTTTAGGCTATCATCTCTCTTCCCGCACTTTACATAAGGCTGAAATGCGAAATTTTTAAACATATGTCCAAATTTTCCAAAAACGTAAAATTAAAAAATCCCGATATCTGGCAAATTTAAAATATGCATCCAAAAGCATAAGGCTGATGCTTATACATTTTAAAGTGAACTTTCGCTGTAAAATTTTCCGAAATTTTGGAGCTAAGCAATTTAAATATGATTTTTTTCCTATAAAGCTCCAATGCACACCCAATTAGTAATCAAAACAAGTTCTGTGCGTGAAAATGGAGCTTTTTGGTGGAGATTTGAGGGTTTTCTGAAAGTTTAAAGCTTCATCTTCTATCGAAACTTGTACAAAAATGCCTTATTCCTCATAGCTCAGTGAGGGATTATTTTGTGAAACATTTGAACCGATTTGAGAGTGTATGTTACGCATACGGAAAGCTCAAAAATGGCCCAAAATATTAAAATTTTGCTCGCTTCAAAACTTAAATTTTTCCCAAACGAAGCTTTTGAGCAAAAAATCTTGCTCTTAATAAAACATCGGCATTTTGAAATGGTATTCCCGTCGGTAATTTTTCCAAATCTCTCGCGGTAATGGTTTTCAAAAAAATGTCAAAAATGCAGTTTTAAAAAATCCTAATATCTCCGAAACTAAGAGTGCATAAAACTGTATTAATTTTCCTTTTAAAGTGACCAGTCATCGAGCCATGGAAGGTTTGTGTATTTCTGCCTAAATTTTTAGAAAGAATATTCCGAATTGAGGCAAAAAATTCACCATGGACCACCTCCAAACTTTATGTAATTTATTTTGATTGTTTTAGGCCGTCAAAGTGAATTTTTGGCCTCACTTCGGTGTGCCCAATATCGTCCAAACCTACGGAAAAATCCCTTAGGCTTGTGAAAATCATAAGTTCAAGAGTGCTTTCGTGCATCCAAACCAGGTTTTGTCATTGTTTCAGTGCAATTTTTAATCCACTAATGTGCGCATTGAAAAAATGTCTTTTGGCAGTGATTCATTACTTACACATCTCGCTTTGCACAATGGTGTTAAGCCCAGCTAAAATGTGTAGGAAATGTGCGAAAATTTCCCGCAAAATCTCCGGTTAATTAGCCAAAAATTCTGTTAGTGAACTTAATCGGTTCAGTTGCCTGCGACGCTTGAGAACCGATCTATTAAAGTTTAGGAAAATTCAACTTTCGAGCCATTATTATGGTAAATTCCTGCATCTATTTAGCTACTTGCATTATTGCGAGTGAATATTGGATTTTTTCGAAAAAATTGAAATTCTACAAACATGCAAGACAATGAACAAAACTAACAATACGGGTTAAACACATTTTCAAATACATACCCCTACTTTTTTTTATTTCGTATCGTCCTGAAAAAGCAGAAAAGCGTTTAGTAACTGCAACATTTACAGCAGGAGAATAATTAATATCATTTAAACCAATCAAGCCGATTCCTGCCACTATCCGAAGCTGATACAGTTTGAGAAAAAGTTTGCCAATTAGCGCAATCTTCCAGTACAGATGGATGGTTAATTTGATTTTACCGATCGGCAAGAGTTTTCCTGAAAGTAGCCTATTCCACTATTAATGAGCGAAATACAATGAAACTTCAAACCCTGATTGGTTTAATTGAAATAGATCTTTTGAAGCGCGCCAATGATGGATCGCTGCTATACAAAGTGTTTTTATGACGGATTAAAGCCAGGGAGAAAAGGTGCAAGGTTCCGAAGAATCACTCAACATGATCAATCGCACGCGATGGTTTTTTAAGCAGCATCCATTGCAAAATTGAGCTGAAAACCACCCTTGACTATTACCTAATTAATAGCAAAAATTTAATGGCCTGTAAACGACCCGATAAGCTTAAGGTTTTTGAAACAAAAGCCCTCCTTTCATCCTTCTATTGAATAAGACGCGCTCCATTAATAAGATTTCCGCAAGATGAAAGTTGAAAAATGCACATACCTGCAGCACATTCAGCCGATAGAAAAATCGCCAAAACCACGACAAACTTCACCATGCCAGCGGATGTTTTGCAGCGCTTAACAATTCTTCAGATGGATGCGCGACTGGAGGAAGACTTGTTGCAGAGTGGCAGGAGCAACAGTTTTCAATGTTTGACTCGCAACATTCGCCGCAACAGGCCGCTTTTATAGGGGATGAACGAGATATGGGGATGAGCCATTCCGGGTGTTTTTGGTCTACTTTTAGCGACGCCTATTGCAAGTCCTAAACCCACGGTTTCATGGGTTCCATCATTTACTAGTCATTGATCATTCTCCTTCCAGCTGGAAACGTTTTATCTTAATGTTGATTTACCTTTTTCGGTTACTGGCCGGTTTATTAAGGAACATTGAAACCAGAAAACGAGCAAACAATCAATGGAAAAGTTTCGGTTTGGTAGCGCAAAAATCCCATTTCAACTGGAAAACTTTGGATTGAAAATTCCTTTAGGGTTTTCATTTTCCAAACACCGATAGCATAATCAAGAATTTTCTCAATTGTACTAATTTCGATGCAATTTCCACCAGAAGGCAAACAGTAAAGAAAATAAAAGTGACCAGTTGAAAATGTTGCGTTGTTCAACTAACCGAATTCTTACAGTATCAATCGAACAAAAACCTAGAGAATTCGAATTCCTTCATCAGTTTTTGATACCAAGAAAAATAAATCAAAACAGTAGCAAACCGCGCTTTAGTCATCAATCCACAAAATTCCACTGAAGCGCTGAATTAATAATTTTTGTTGGGGTTCATTTTACTTGGGGTACTTAACATCAGCTGGACTTTTTACCAAAGATACTACTTGACTATGACTTAAAAAATACACTTTGCCTATAAAAGTCGCAGTTTCTAGCCACTGAGGTTTCACCCTTAAAATCAAAAGTCGGCAAACTGTGCGCTGGAAAAGAGCAATTTATTGACGGTTTCTTCTTCTTCACGGCATGAAGATTTTAGGAAACTGAAAATTGATACAACGAATGAATGAGCTGGGAGAAATAAGCAAGAATCCAGCCTGATAACCGCGGATTTTAAGCTTATTTTGGGGTAAATTTCCGCAAATTTTTGCTAATAGAGTCGGACGGCTTAGTAAGAAGGAAATTAAAGAAATAACGAGAAAAGCCAAGAAAATATTCCTAAAACTATTTTTAAATGGGTGAAGCTTCTTAAAAACAGACAATCTCTCTTTTGAACAGTAAAACTCAATTTTTAATAGCAAGAAAAATCGTTCAAAACAGCAGCAAACCACGCTTTAGTCGTTAATTCACAAAACTCGACTGAAGCACTGAATTGGTCAATTTTTTTGGAGTTAATTTTGAGCTTTTTCAATTAAGTTAGAACTTGAGTTACTTAATATTAGCTAGACTTTTCACCAAAGAGGCTGCTTGACTTTATGACTTAAAAAAGGACGCTTTGCCTATAAAATTCGCAGCTTCTGGCCATTGGAGTTTCACCATTAAAATCTAAAGTCGGTAAACTGGGCGTTGAAAAAGAGCAATTTATTGTCGGTTTCTTCTTCTTCACGGCATGAGGACTTTAGCAAAATGAAAATGC